AGCACCACGCTCTCCAAATTGAGCCAACCGGCCATCCCTATATAGGGATCCGAACCCGTGGACTTGGTGTTATCAGCACCACGCTCTCCCGAGTGAGCCACGGGCCGGCCCTGAAACAGCTCTTATGTGCTGCTGAAATACCCCAGACAGAGAAACTTCCGTCTGTAAAACTTTGAACTCAAGGAATATCAGAGATATTTGCTTCCTTAAAACAAACCAAACCAAACCAAACAAAAACAAAACAAAAGCCACCGCCCAGGAGAGGGTCCTGAACAACTCCCTCACTTAGGTTTTCCGCGATCCGGATCCCTATCAGGAAGCGACCCAGTCCTCCTAGCTCAGAACGCCGCGCTAGCCCATCTTCTCAACTGCCTTCCGCTCGCCAACGCCTCTTCCGGTAGCGCAGACGTGCGCGGTACGTGATGGCGTCACGAGGGGCGGCGGGGGTATAAGAACGTGGTAGGGGCACGTACGCTCCTCTTTTTCAGTTATCGGGGGTTGTGTTTAGGTAAGGTAGCTGACGTGCTTCCTAGCCCGGGTTTGGGGTGTAAGGTCATGCGGGTCGGCCGAGCCTTAATAATACGCTAGGGACGAGAGGAGGACGGTTGGACGGGAGTGCAACACGGTCGTGAGGGTGATACTGGTTATAAAAGTTTTACGGGCTGCTCTCGCGGGATCTACTCTGGGCTCCACGAGATTCTAGCGGAGTTGTGGAACTGCGCAGGCGCCGCCCAGGGTGCTCATGCTCGGCTTTCTCTCCCGAGCAGGTACGGTCGGGCAAGCTGAGCCAGCATGCCGGTGGCTCGGAGCTGGGTTTGTCGCAAGACCTACGTGACCCCGCGGAGACCTTTCGAGAAATCCCGCCTTGATCAAGAACTGAAGTTGATCGGTGAGTGGCCAAAACAAGGTTTCGGCTTCCGGGGTCGAGGGAAGGCTAGCACGTGGTTGAGAGTGACCACGTGCTGTTTCTAGTCCAGTCCTTTGGTGGTTCCGCCGCAGTCTCTCCAAATTCAGCACGGTTCGTGATTTAGAAAGATGTATTTTTTCCCAAGCTGCCAGTCTAGCTTTTGTACTAGTTCGTGGTACTAAGCTTGTCAATCTTCTCTCCACCATATGCAGGCGAGTATGGGCTCCGGAACAAACGTGAGGTCTGGAGGGTGAAATTTACTCTGGCCAAGATTCGCAAGGCCGCCCGGGAGCTGCTGACGCTGGACGAGAAGGACCCACGGCGTCTGTTTGAAGGTGTGTATGTGAGACCAGCGGAAAGGGATTGGGTGTAGGGCTTATGAGGTTCGTTCTCCTTTCTAGGCTTTTTATTACAGCGATCAGAGGTATGATACTGAACAAGTGGAGGCAGCCTTTTAACCTGCGTACCCAAACATTGGGCCTTTAGTTTACTGATGACTATGATGTATATGGTGTCACAGAACAATTTTGCTCCTTATGTGTCCTGTTCACTAGGGGTGGAAATAATAAGAAATTTATGGAAGGTCTGATGTTGATAACAGGGAGGGGGCTAGGGCGTGTACATTTGCCTGCTTTAATAAGCTGGTCAAGGACATTCAGGTCACTTAGCAGAGGTCTGAACAGGAAAGGATATGTGGATGTCCCAGGGAAGAGCATTTTAGGTGACACTGGGAGGGGATGCAGATCATATAGGGACTTAGACTTATTTTTTTAATTGTAAAAATCCACGTAACAATTTTCCATCTGCATTAGTCGATTTTCTCTTTGTAACAGAACACCCGAAACTGGCTAATTTACAAAGAAAAAATTGTTTCTTCCAGTCTGGAGGCTGGGAACTTCAAGGTTGAGGGAGGCCATCTGCTTAGGGCTGTCTTGCTGTTGGGGATTCTGCGGAGTCGTAAGGTTCTGATGTGGCACAGGGCATCACATGAAGAAGCTGAGCTTGCTACCTCAGGTCTCTTCCTCTTATAAACCATCAGTCCCGCTCCCATGGTAACCCATTAATCCATGAATGAATTAATGAATCCATTGAAGGCAGAGCCTTCATTATCACCTCTTAAAGGTCCCACCTCAGTACTGCAGTGTTGGGGGTTAAGTTTTAGCATGAGTTGGAGAGGGCAAACATTCAAACTGTAACACTGTCTTAACCATCTTTATAGACTCTATTTTTTTTTTTTTTTAAGATGACCGGTAAGGGGATCTTAACCCTTGACTTGGTGTTGTCAACACCACGCTCACCCAGTGAGCGAACCGGCCATCCCTATGTGGGATCCGAACCCGGGGCCTTGGTGTTATCAGCACCACACTCTCCCGAGTGAGCCACGGGCCGGCCCGATAGACTCTATTTTTTAAGGTCCTAAATTTCTCCTTTGACGCAGTGTTATTGGAGGGCTTTCATATCGGAAGATTGACATGATCAAACCGAAATTTTAATAGTACCTCTCAGATTGTAAAATGGTGTTAGAATTAAAATAAGGCCTCGTTGAGTGCCTTAGTCTAGGCTCTTTATAGGCATTATCTTGAAGTTTCTGTAACTTAAATTTATATCTGAAAATGACCACCTCCCAGCTGTCATCTTGACCACACCTGCCTCTGCACCTGAGCCCTGACTGTAATGAGGGAGAATGGTTATCTGTGTATAGAGGTTGGCAAAGTGCTGGAGCTTGTTTAACCACAAATTTATCACACTTGATCTGTCCCAGGCTCGCAAATGTTAGCAGTTATTATTTTGTTGTTGTTGTTAGATCGTAGACCCGTTTGACACTATCATGAAAGCTCTGGAATCCTTTTCCCTATGAACACCAATATGATGAGGGAGTTTATCC